AAAGGGCGAGAGGGGGTTACATATTCACCGATGCCTCGCATACCTAGGCATATTACTTCAGTGAAACTCGTGCCCTCCTCAACTCAGTTACAGCAAAAGTGCATTACAGTCGAGCCCACATACAACGAATTACTGTCAAAGAGCCGCAAAGTCCCCTTGAATGCAATATGTAAAATATTTTATACATTGAATTACCTATATATAGAGACCTTTTCAGATTCAATGGCATCGTAGGTCCACAACACAAAGCTTCATGCAGTTGTACCTTTACATGTCAAAGTATTCAATTCTACTAAGCACATGTAGAGAAGATAGCGACTGATATTTAAGGGTGGACGCAAAAGCATCAAGTGAATGTGACTGCAGAAACACTTGAAAAAAAAGGGGGTTTTTTACTGGGCTTCCATTCCCTGAGTATTTGTTGCAAGCAGCCACAATATCCCAGTGGTAGCAGCTGTAGTCGTGAATAACTCAATTGCCTTTCCCACGCAAGTACTCACATGACTGCGGAGGTCTGTGCTCTTGCTGTCAACATCATAGCTGCATGTCCAAAAGAATATGAGATTTTAATTCAACCTTCTTTGCAGCAAGCAAACCATATGCACACCCACGATATCTTACACTTTGAACGTGAGCTGCTGACGTTCTTCAAAGTAATAGTCCACAAGAAACTTTGTCACAAAGTCAGGGTCGAGACAGTCACGAATCATTTCTGTGCGCCCCACCTGAGAGCAGAAACAGGCTGTAATTTACGAAATGCTGACAGTGCTACTTGATGAGGGCTTACCTCCCACCATTGATCTGTGTCGCAAGACCGCATAAACAAAACACACATAGGGTCAGACTTAGAAAAGACATCCTTCAGCTTTAGTTGCCTGCAAGACACAAATTCATGCAATAGAAATGAACATTGGCCAAAACATGAGATTTACACTTAAAGTGCTCGCATGGTTTTCACTGTACTAATACTAACTTTCAATAGAGACATTAAAAAAAGGTGATCCTTCAGAATATTATGAATTATTCACTCATTCTGCAAAGAATAAGGTTCTGTCAATTTGCTCAGATGGAGCCACAGGTGGCTCTGTCACCTATGAGAATGAACGCCACTGTAGACGGATGAAATTTTAGAAGTCCGTAGCATTTCCTTCTCAAAGGCGCATGTACAGCCACGTCTGTGTAGAATACGCGAGCTTTTGCCATGCGAGGCGAGGCAGTCTCTGATATGGTGTGTCAGAAGCATAAATTCGCAGGTTGTTTTAGGGGACATATATACACGTGCACATGTGCATAAACTATATGCGAGTTCTCAATTTTTTTTAAATATTTGTTTCCTGCCTTAAACTAGGACACGCATAAAGTCACACCTCAGTCAGAATCAATAACTGAAGACAGAAAATAGCGATCATGATCATCCTCATCAGCCCTACTAAGCCCACTGCAGGACAAAGCCTCTCTCATGTTTCGCCAATCAACCCAGTCCTGTGCTTTCTGCTGCCACATTATGCCTGCAAACTTCTTAATCTCATCTGCCTACCTAATTTTCTGTCTCTCCCTAAGGCATTTGTCCTCTTCTTGGAATTCAGTCAGTTACCCTTAATAATCATCGGTTATCCTGCCTACGCACTAGGTACCCGACCCATGTCCATTTCTTCTTCTTGATTTCAACTTTGATATCCTTAACCCTGGTTTGTTCCCTGACCCACTCTGCTCCCTTCGTGTCTCTTAAGGTTACACCTATAATTTCCCTTTCCATTCCTCGCTGTTTCATCCTGTATTTAAGTTGAACCCCCTTTGATCCTGTATTTAAGTTGAACCCTCTTTGTAAGCCTCCAGGCTTCTGCTCTGTAGGTAAGTACTGGCAAGATGAAGCTGTTATATACCTTCCTCTCGAGGGATAGTGTAGGTTACCATTCATGATTAGAGAATGCGAACCGAATGTGATTCACCCCATGCTTATTGTTCTAGTTGTCTTTCCCACCCTGTCCTTTTTCCTTTGTTCGTGCACTGAAACAATCTTGCAAATATGACTACGCACCAACTAGCCTAAGCTTCCACACTTTACGGAGGGCTATGGTGGCTGTGGATGCGCTGTAGATTTCTTCAGTACGTTTATATAGGCTTTTTCGATGCCCAGATTACAGAGTGACTGCATGACTGCTGATATCCTGACCGAATCTAATGCATTCTCATAACCTATGAAGGCTATGTAGAGGGGTTGGTTGGATTCCACGCACTTCTTTGTCATCTGTTTGGTAGTATAAATATAGTGTGCTGTTGAGTAGCCTGTACAAAATCCTGCTAAGTCCTTCAATTGATTGAACCCTAATGTCATCTATGAGCTATTATTTCTGTAAATAGCTTGTAGACAATAGACAGTAAGCTTTGAATTAAGATAATGTTGCCATTCTTCCAATACTCTGGTACCCTTCCTGTAAGAGATGCTGAGTATACAGGTGGCACGTTTTTCTACGCCATCTTCTCTCTGCTGTCTTTCAAAAGGTCTGATGTTACCTTATCCTCACCAGCGGCTTTACCTCTTTGCATTCCCTTAGGGCTTTATTTACTTTCCTGTTGTTACCTGTGGGATGTCATGAATCCTCTGAGCTATTACATTGTGAAATAACTTGAGCTATTACAGCTACTTCTGACTTTCCAATCCCATTATCCCGGTCGCTGTACAGATCGCTGTAAAACCCCTCTGCTACATCAACTATCCTATTTATATTGGTATACTGACCTTGCCTTTCTTGTCCCTTACACTTACATCTGATTTCTGCCTATGCAGAGTTTTGTCTTCACAGCTTTGAGGCTTTTTTCATTCTTTAGAGCATGCTTAATTCTCTCCATGTTACACCTTATCTCAGCTACCTTGAAGCTCTATCTGTTGCATTTGAGGCTTTCATGTTAGATGTTTGTTAGAATTTTTTTGTCTTCTGGGATAGCTTGCCAGTGTTCTGTCTAATGACTGTATCACTTACTTCCATTGCACTCTCCTTATTGATGTACTTATCAGATTATCATTTACTGCATCAAAGCTAACATCACTTGCGTGTGTTAGAGCTGTCAATATATACTGCAGCGAAACCCTGATTTACTTCTCAGCACTAGCTGACTAATTGACCTCTTGCGCATCAGTTTCTACCGTTCCCTGCTCAAGTCTAGGCGAATTCGAGACCTTCATCGCACCTCGCCAACTACTTCTGTATAATGCCCGGGCGTGCACGGAGAATAAAGTCTATTCGATTTTTAGTTTTAGTAATAGATGAGGTTAAATCAGAAGATCGATTTCAGAAATATACGGGTGCGGTGTCATATGTTCTCGCACGCAGCCCGTATGCGCGTTGGGAGGTTGGAAAAGTTCAAGTACTCAAGAGAGGGACGTGGTCAGCAAAAAGAAGTTCCCCTTCCCTCTACACTTAATGTGAATATCATAAAACGCGGGCAATGGTGGCCACGTCCAACGGCCGCACCGTAGGTTGAGTACGAGTCTCTTTCAACAGCACTGCAAAAGAAAGCAAAGCGAAAAAAAAGAAGGGGGGGGGGGGGGGGGGGTGCTCGCGGGTATGCACTTCCTGCGCCTCGAAGAACTGCTGCAGCCACCTGTTGCTGAGAGACGTTCGGACAAGAACGGCACGTATCATCGATGCCCGTCCGCGCTCGGAGATCCGTCGCACCCACCTACACGACACGCTGATTTCGACTTTGACGACAGGCGTGACGGCAACTGCTGGCGTGAACGGTTCTGTAGGGTTCGCCATTCGGTGCGCCGTCTTTTCGAACCGGCTTGCAACGAGCGAATGATCGGTTGTCGGTACGTTTTTACAGTAGCACAATCAACCCAGACGAGAACACATCAGCCATTTAACGTCACGCAGCTAAAAGCGAAACTCAAACGTCAGGAGCCAACCCGATCGATAAATGTGCGCGAAAAGCGTTTTCGAATGGACTACCTCGCACAGCTTTTCTTCCTCCATGACCACGCAGAACTCTGGAAACAGCAAAAGTGAATGTATTTTAAAAGCTGACCCAATGTTTATTCCGGTTTTTTTCAATCGTCTCACTGCGGCGTCAGAGGCGACGTTCCAGTCACAGTTTTGTCGGAATTGCCAAATCAGCTGCGTTACACACATGAAGGCACGTATGCGTCACAAACCGAACACCGTAAAACCAAGAACACCTATACCACTTTTTTTTTTTTCTAGAATACGTTAAGTACTAGCGGTGGACAAGTATTTGTTGCACGCTTGAAGCGCCCTCACCTTCATTCCCAACGAGCGCGCTGAGAAATACTCTTAAGTGATCAACAGATCAAGATATACTTTAGAGTTTTACTCTATATGCTACGTTCTAAAAGTAGCATATAAAGTAACTAATAAAAGTATTTACAAATGCTTACAACGGCGTACGTCTTAATATTGAGCACTCGTTTTCTTAGAACTAGAGCCAACATTGGTTTTAGTTCACTATAAGCGATGTGCGCGCGGCTCAATTTCAGTATGATCACGTGCAAGCAGCACCAGTTTTTGTATTAATGACCTATATGAATGAACAAATACAGCAACAAGAGGCAAGATTTTATACCATCTGATAATTATTATTGGCCTTCTTAGAGGTGCCCTGCAACACTTTTTTGCAATGTGCTCAGGAAACGCTGATCAGTAGTAAAGGCTCCAGACAACAGGTGAGCCAAATATAGCGCAGCATGAGGCCCAGAATTCACAGAAAACTCAAGAATCACGCTTAAGCAAGTCAGTCCATCAGCTATTGGTTGATTTGAACATGGTGCACTCGGTCCCCCAGCAATGTATACATATAATGAAGGAAACTTGCCAAGGCGTCTAGGAGCAAGTGCTTATAAGTTGTAAGGTTTGAGCCTAGATGTCTGCACAAAGGTAACCACACTAAAGGTCAGCAAGATTACATAGCAGATTACAGGATCGCAAATGGCGGCATGCCCGGACCGACAACTACAGAAAACTTGCACAAGCCAAACCTGCTGCTTTTTTGAAAACATGAACAAATGTTTTATTTCACAAAAAAGAAAGAACAATGACACCAGCATGAGGCTAGTATAAATATACAAGGTGATGATGACATGGGCGATGAAAGGTGTTGACCTATGTGTGAAGTTTGTCCAAAAATTTTTTTATAGTTCTTCATGCTCATCTCTCTGGAAAAAACGGAGGGGGGGGGGGGGGGGGGGGAAGGTTTAGTTTTCAGAACAAAGCAGAACATTTGGCAGTACACGACCCTTATGTCTAGAATTTGAGACATCAATAGTGGTTTACGAAATACGGCAAATTAAGAGATCGTGGGAAAGACACTTCAAATAGAAGCTTGTTCATACCGGTTCTTCCTCCTCTTCAGTCTTCTCGTCAGTCTTCTTGTCTAGATCAATAGGAATTCCCTCAAATGCATCTTCATCTGGTTCCTCATCGACCTGGAAAAAAAAAACATCCATTGAACATCAAGGGCAATTATAAGTGAACCAATTGTACAATAGTAAATTAAGTGAAACATACCCCTTGATCTTCTGGAAGCCCAAGTGTTTTTCGCATCAGCACCTCCACACGCTCCGCAAATGCAAGAGTGTCTTCAAGAAGGAAGCCCGAACGAAGTGTTGCAGTCTCGTACACCAGCTCTGCCATGTTGCGTGCCTGTGGATCATTCTTGTCATCTTTGACTCTGCGCAGAAGCTCTTTGATGAGCGGGTGCCTTGGGTTCAATTCCATGTTCTTTTTCTGGCTCAGGTAGTAGTCTCTCATCGTGTCATGCGATTTGGCATGAGCATTGCTTCGCGCAAGTCGTTCCATGTTGCCCGTCCAGCCAAACTGGTTGGCCACAAGGGCACATGGCGAAGTGGCAAGCCGTTCGGAGATCATGGCCTTCAGAATACGTCCCTTGAAGACTTCGTCTTCCAACCATTTGGTCAATGGCTCAAACTCTCGTGCAATAGCATCATGGCGTTCGCGAGCACGGGTCCCCTCATCAACCTTGAGACCTTCCTTGGCAACATTCTGGAACTTCTTTCCCTCAAACTCTGTCAGCGACGAGATGGAATACTCGTCCACAGGTTCCACCAAGTACAGCACTTCATAGCCCTTTTTCAGCAGCCGTTCCACAAAAGGAGACCGCTTTACTTCGTCAAGGGAAGCTCCGGCGATGTAGTAGATTGTCTGCTGACCGTCCTTCATGCGAGAGACGTATTCCGATAAGGACGTCAAACCTTCGCCATGAGACGAGTGGAAGCGTACCAGCTTTGCCAGCCGAGTGCGGTTTGTAGTGTCCTCAATGATTCCCAGCTTCAAGTTCGTGGAGTACTCCTTCCAGAACTGCTCATACTGTTCAGCAGGAATGCGCTTCATCATGTCCAAGGCCTTGCGCACAAGTTTCTTCTTGATTACCTTGAGCAATTTGTGCTGCTGCAGTGTTTCACGGCTCACATTTAGGGGGAGGTCATCAGAATCAACAACACCACGGATGAAACTAAGGTAACTAGGCATCATGTCTTGGAAATCGTCTGTGATGAAGACACGCCGAACATAGAGCTTGATGTGATCTACCTTTCCTCCATATCGGTTGAAGGACTCTGTGGGTTGCACTGTGGGTATGTACAGAAGTGCCTTGAACGTCAACTCTCCCTCTGCTATGAAATGGGTTTTAGCTAGTGGTGCCTTTGTGTCCTTGGTGATAGCCTTATAGAATTCTTCATACTCATTGTCTTCAATTTCGGCTGGTTTGCGTGTCCAGATAGGCTTGGCACTGTTGATGAGCTCCCAGTCCCAAGTGGTCTTTTCAACTTTCTTTGTCTTGGGCTCGTCATCTTCTTCCTCTTCAACCTTGTCCTCATCTTTCTCTTCAACATCTGGTTTAGTCTCCTCTACAGGTTCTTCCACAGTTTCGGTCTTCGATGTCCACAGGTAGATGTTGAAGTTAATGAACTGGGAATACTTCTCGATAAGTTTTTTCAATGTGTCCAGTTCCAAAAAGTCCCGGGCCTCCTCTTTCAGTTGCAGGGTCACTTGTGTGCCACGGCCAAGCGTGTTGCCTCTGGGATCTTTGACCACTGTGAACTCGCCAGAGTCAGACTCCCACACGTGCTGCTCATCATCGTTATTCTTGCTTGTGACAATGACACGATCAGCCACCAAGAACGCTGAATAGAAGCCAACACCAAACTGTCCAATGAGGTCATTCAGTTCCTTTGGCGCTTCAGCACTCTCTGCCACCTTTTGTAGAAACTCTGCTGTGCCCGACTTTGCTATGGTACCCAAATTGTTGACCAGGTCTGTTTTAGTCATGCCAATGCCAGTGTCGATTATGTGCAGCAGTCCGTTCTCTTTGTCACTCTGCAAAGCAATGCATAAATTTTTTAATGAGAACTGTTTTAAATGATGACGAGTGAAAATGCAGCTAAAGAGCATTCAAACCGGCAATACGAATGCATGCACCTAGAGTACAGCGGCCAGTGGGTAATCTGGAACAATAGGGAGTGTTTGAATAGGGTTCATTTTAGTCGACCACTGTTTTTACCACTAAATGGGAACCTGGAAGCAACTGTAGTCCGATGCATGTACAGTGGTGCAAAGCGTTAATGTCAAGCTTTGCTTACGCTATTTGGAAAACTCCGTAATAATGCGGGCTCTAGTACACACCCATGCAAAGGAAAATCCAAGTCAAATCCCAGGTAAATTGCATAGAGTTGAATAACCGAGATAAGGTTTACATTAAGCAATTTGATTCACTAATGGAAGAAGACACTCTCGATCAGACAGTGTTGGGAAACTACACAACCTCGATAGCTTTACTATAACACCCACCAGTGAGCCAGGAAACGAACTGTTGTAGCTGTCCATGCACAAGCAAAATAATACGGTCATTCTTGCTCTGTTTTATCCCCCCCACCCTTTATGCCATTCAGGTGCTCAGGCAAAACACTTGCAATGGGACCATCAAGAAGAATTATCTGTCGTTTTGTATGGACTGTCAAGTCCCACAATTGGTAATACCAGTGTGCATGGAGCGACGGTATCAACTCTCAACATGTTCAGATGAGGGAGGGAACATAAGCGACAGGAAAAAAGGAAAGTGCGTGTAACTTTTTAGAGCTGCACACTGCATAAGGCAAGCAAAGCGCATGGTGCACATCAAAGCGGCAAGAGTTACGAGAGTTGGGTTTTGCGGAACTTGTGCGAAATAGTATCCGCTCGGTCGAACACCGACATTTCGATCACTGAGGCCCTAAATGTGAGGCTGTTGCAACTGCGGAAATGCCAAGTAGCCACCAGATGCGCGATTGGACACTGTGACGATCCGCAGAACTTGACATTTTTCCGCCGCGCTACACGTCATGGGGACGAGGGCGAGGCATGACGAGCGCGACCTATGCAGTTTGTTCGGCAGCTGGACATGTGAGCGAAAGTCACCCACGAAAACGCTCACCTTTACGCGTATCGTCAGCTCCGGATTCGAGTTCAGCACGTCAGGATTCGTCAACGAGAGCAGCCTGATCTTGTCCAAGGCGTCAGAGGCGTTCGAAATCAACTCTCGCAAGAAGATCTGAAAAGACGTAAATGCTTAGAACAGAAAAGCCAACGAATAAAAAAAAAAAAAAAAAAACAAGTGGGCGACCGCAGGATTAACATACCTCCTTGTTTCGGTAGAGAGAGTTGATTATCAACTTCATCATTCGCGTCACCTCCGCCTGGAAGGCATGCTTCTCGGCCTTCTCCCGCATCTCCTTCATTTGGGCGACGTTGAGACCGTCCAGCTTTATCGCCTCCTCTTCCCTGCGAATAGAACACGTCAGCAGTTTAGCAAAGGAGCAATCCTCACACGAAAAGTTTTCAGACCTCTCCACAACTTGGTCGTCAGTCCGTGACCCATCCCGGCTGCTGCCCAAATCCTGGTCCACCGTGGGAGCGCTGGAATCTCCTACATCCTCTGCTCTTGTCAGTCCTGTTGGTGCAAAGTACACATCTCAATCACTCTCAAGCTTGGGCCGACGGTGCCAGCCCCGCAGCTCACGAAACAAGCTTTGCTCACGAAAACGTTCAGGTGCATCCGTAAAACAGCCCGAAAATACAAGACAAGACGGGCGCTATTTGTGCCTTCTCAGTCTAAGTCGTTTCGCGCTAATTTGAGGATGAATTTGCCACAACTAGTCCGACTCTCTACCCTGTTGCGAAACCTACAGGTCATAATATTTTCTCAAGTGCTCTGGTGAATCGGATACCGTGAACTACCGAAGCAAAGAAAATTGACAAGCCGGCGCCGCGCAGTAAATACGCCTATGAGCTCACCCGCAAAGAGGCAGAGGACAAAAATGCCCAGGAGGAGAGCCCGCATCTTGGCGATCTACCCAGTGGTAATCGGCCACGAAAGCGGAATCCTGCAGCACAACCAAAGCCTACCAACACGAACACTACGCACGCCGGTTACTGAATGACAAGTGCAATGGCCGGCGAGCGTCCAATGTTGCATGTTCCTCCAATGGGAGCAGAACACGCGCCCCCACTTGGACCAATCACATTACGACCAAACGCCCAGCTGTGTTGGCCAAGCGCCATTGGCCGTTCGGCAACCACGGTATTGATGACGATGAAATGCCCGCGGGCATTGTTTGGTTTCGTGAAAGTTGTGTGTTGATACTATAATTGTAAAAAAAAAAAGCAAACACTTGCTGGAGATTTTTCAACTTCCGTCCTTCTCCTTTACTTTTCGGCATTTTTTTTACTTGACTAAAAAATGTAGCCTTTAGCAGCCGATAAAGTTGAACCAATCCAACGACACATTCGCTGCATTGCTCTAAACAACGTTCAGACAAAAAAATTACCACAAATTTTTATAAATAATAAACTTTAAAAACATTTAAATGCAAAATAACGACGCATATGGACGAAAAGTAAAAAAAAAACAATTCACGGTTTCAGAACTTTAGCTTCTGTTATCGCTACTGAGGACAGCGCTACTGCAACCTGTCAAAGGTCCAACAAGTTATTTTAAAATGACGCTTCAATCCAAGTTTTCTAATATTTTGTTTTAAACTGCAAAACGCACGTCTTGTGACAAAGTAGTAATGCTTTTTTTCTTTTTTTACACATCTCTTTGTGTCGCAATTTTCACTACAACCTACCGTGCCGTGTGCAGACGATATTTTTATTTCGCGATGGAAACAAAGGAATCGATGCAGTCTCAAGCACAACTAGTGACAACAACGTCGTCGTGATGCTCTGACAAGCGTGAAAAAAATAATTATGCGACTCTCGTCAGTTTTGGCATGCTGTTTTGTTTTTGAATCAGTTCGTTGTGGTTGTTGGACGAGAGGTGCGTTTTAGTGAACGCAAAGAGCTTGACGCTTCGCTTGGTTTGTTGACAAATACTAGGCGAGCACAAGTCTTCTTCTCCGTGAGCACAAAATTTGCATGGTATTTCGGCGCCTACTTACCGTGGCATTGGGCTTGATGCCGAAGAAAGGCCAATTCTACTATGCCGTCCGCAACGGGCGCCAGAAAGGAGTATTTTTGACATGGTGAGTGATCATGGCTTGGCGTTGTTTTTTTCTTTAATCCGTGCTCAATAATGAAGTCTGATGCGTCCGCTTTGTTTTTGCCTGACCCGACCATGACGCCTGTATTTGACCGAGACCCTGCTCCGAACGATCCCGCGTTCCGTACTTTGCGTTCGCGCCGGCAACAAATACGCGCAGGAGAGTCTCGGAATCGTCGCCGTTCGAAAAACATTCTCACGCCTGTCTCGTGTGTCACTGGCTCCACATAGCGTATTGTCCCGCTCTTTACAGTCTAAAAGCACTGACCGCAGCTGCCCGCGGTGGTCTAGTACGTGGCTAAGGTACTCGGCTGCTGACCCGCAGGTCGCGGGATCGAAACCCGGCTGCGGCGGCTGCATTTTTGATGGAGGCAAAAATGCTGTTGGCCCGTGTGCTCAAATTTTGTTGCACGTTAAAAAACCCCGCGTGGTCGAAATCTCCCGAGCCTTCCATCACGGCGTCTCTCATATTCATATGGTGGTTTGGGACGTTAAACCTTGCATATCAATCAAAAGAACCACCTCAGCAGCCTCTGGTGTGAATAGTTGTAATCGACATACGTGTGTTATTGTCTGGTTTCTAATTTGTATCAGCTGGTTTCTGGTATATTGTGCTCCTTAAAAATGTGCACTCAACAGCAAAGTTTACGGGACGTTGACTCCACGATAAAAATGATCGTTTCATCAACGCGTACTCAGTATAAGTCACAATACAGGCTGCTGCATTGATTTGGAAGTTATTTTCCTAGACAAGGCGAGGCTTTCTCAAAAATTTTGCGTCTCAAAAGCTTTTGCTGTTAGGTGTGCATGAAGTAAACCAGCAAGACATTTTCACCTACAAGAAAACGTATTGAATATATAGATGCGTCAGCACAGTGGATCTGTACTGAGACAATGATCTTCCATGTCGTTTGCTTGGTTGTCTAACCTAATTATTTCACTGTTGTTTGTGCACACAATTATGCGTGACATGCAGGCTTAAAACGGCTCGGATGTGAGTTTTTTGTGCATAGTTGTGTGCACGTGTAGCTGATTAGGATTGCTTTGTTCTGAGCAAGTTGAAAAAGACGAAAACACAGTACCAGTCCTGTGCGTTCCTTTCATTTTAGTGCTGTTTAACTTTGCAGCGGCTTGGCTGACTATGTTGTGTTCAGACACGCGTGACTTGCTCTATTTATTAAATGCAGGCCTGAATGTGAGAGCCAGGTTAAGGGTTACCCCCGACCTGTGTACAAGAAGTTCAGCACCGAGCAGGAAGCCTGGGCTTTTGTCAACAATGATCCCAATGGAGAGGTAACCCTTAGTGGTTCAGGTAAGCGTACCTTGATACATGATTATTTTCGTTATCAATCTCCTAGAGCACCGAATGAAAACATGAAAGACGAGACGGCACTCGTTTTCGTTTTTTTTTGGGGGGGGGGGGGGGCATATAAGTCTTGCCTTGATACTAAATTTTATTGGTAAGTTAGAGCACGTCTGTGTCCATTTTGTCTAAAAGTTACCCATATAATTTTCTCTGTTCTAATTCGCAGCTAATGACTCACTTATTATGGCTGAATAGCGCACTAGCTCAAGCTGGTGGCACTTAATTCTTTCTAGATGATATAGCAGCCAGTCTCAATCTCGGGGAGTGCCGGAAGAAGCAGCACCGTTTTTTTTTTTTTTTTCTTTGCAAACGCAGTTGGCCAAAAAAAAACAGTTATGTATGCATGTGATTGCCATGTTCATAACGTAGTTTCCTATACATACACTAGAGGGAACTCTGTGCTAGTGTCTATGGGAGCTGCAACGCACGACGCTTCAGTGATATAGTTATTCAATCATACGAGTTGCAAAACTGCATTCCAAAATCCGGACATGCAGCTGGCCCGATTTTTCGGAAGTTAGCTGATTGTCAAGCCACCTGGGAGTGGCAACACAAAACACAAGTAATGCCTTTAATATTGGGCATACATATCAACAGGTGGTGGGACAATCTGTTCACTCCTGAAAGGGGGGCCAATGATGTGTCCGGACTTCGATACATGGAGCCTATGGAGAGTTTCCCAACTCATATGATTGAATAACTCTACTTCAGCGAGCATGGCAATGATGGGTAGTATACAAATTTGTCCAATTTTTTTACTTTCGTCTCCGGTTGGTTTCGCGTGGCTTGTTGCTTTGTCATGAAATGATAATTGACAAATGTTCAGCAGTTGCACTTCACAACTTTGACCTTTTAGGCTCACCATTTGAAATCAGCTCGCCAAGTTTATAACCGTTCATTCTTTTCTTCGAAACAAAACTGAAACACAGCAATAATTGAAGCCAAAAGTGCATTCGCGGCCCGCAAGGTACGTAGACTAGGCAAATTCATGAACTACCCATAATTCGCATGGTCGCTGAATGATCGCAGTGCCAGAGTCCCCTCTAAAGTTAATTTTAGGAAACTCAAAGGTTGACAACTGTGCCATAGAATGCACACACAAGGAACATGGCAGCCATAGGTGGTTGTTGAGTGTTTACATTAAAGCCAAGTTGATGTCGCAAGGTCATACCCACACTTTGAAATTTATTTTAGATGTGGGCTTATATTTGCCATGAATGCTTTGTCCACGCTGTACTAAAATCCCGAGCAAGCACTCCCCTTGCGGTGAAAGATAATTGGAGAAAGTTTGGAGGGGAGCCCTTGCTTGATTGTGGACCAAAATTGAAAATGTCAGTGGAAGTGCCTCTAAGACAAATGCACACCTATGCTTCTAGTGAAATGCTTTATTGAATACGCATGAGTTTGCTGTTCTTACTGAACAGGATGGAATCATTGTATTGAATTTCATGTGTTATGACAAGGGGGAAAGACAATCAAGTGTCTTGGCAACTTGTGACAACTCAGAATGCAACGCCAACGCAAGACGCAGTAAAGGTACTAAGGGTTCGTGCACATATTAAAAGAATCTCAGAATTAGGGTTCCTACAAACTGCTGCTGCAGGGTTCTGTTGCCAAGAATTCTGCAGCAAGTTGAAAAAAAATGTCAGCTTTCGCGATCATTGGTCCATATTTCACGTCTTTTGAAAGAAGGAGGCACTTGCTTGGGGATTCTGCACTGTGGGCCCTTACAAATCTCTTGCAAAAGGTGCCTCTTCGAAATTTTGTATCGCTTCTACTTTGAAGGGCCCCATACTCCTGAGAGGTGTTTATAAACTTGAGCAGTAGAGTGCATTGCTGAGGTGTAAAAATTTTGTCTTCACTGGTGCATAAGATGCAATTGTGACCAAGCATTACTTGTGCATAGCTTTTGTTTTTGTGTTCAGGGGCCTTTGGGGTGAGCTGCCACTCTGTCGGCAAAGCGTTGCAGGGACGCAAGCGCAAGCATGGTGAGTAGCGCCCACCCAGCTGCGTGGCCCCAGGTCAGAGCTCCTCTTCTTGCATAGCAGGTTCTGACCCTGTGGAAGAGCAGAGGGACCAGCGCTTCTGTCCAGATCCCAATGGTGAGTGGCTATCCCAAGATCCTGATTCTTATCACCACTGCTTGCCATCCTGCCCTAAAAAAAATGTGGTCCTGAACAACCCCTTGTGCTTGGCTGCCGTGAACAGTTCAGACAAACCGTAGTCACCCACACTTGCAGTGTCTACCTTCAAACAGAGGCTCTACTTGATGCCTGTGCCCTCTTTTTTTTCGTCATAAAGTAGATTGCAGCTGTTGACTTGCAATTTGCTTCTTGCCAGAGAGTGCTGTCATGTGTCGGTGCCAACCTCTATAGTGTGCTAAAACTACGGTATAATTAATATCCATTATGCCTTCGTTGGGGCTTCATTATCTGCTGGTTTTTATTAAGGTTTTGCCAGACATAAAAAAGAAAGGAGCCCTCAGATATTCTCTTAAATCATTCATAATTACGCAGTGGTGACACAAGTATGCACCAGACTTCTCAAGAATGAGTGAACACATTTCACGATGTGTGCGGACATAGCTCGTATCATCTCTCCCTGTGTGTCTTACAGCACACTTATGAGAACGAGAACAGAAAAAAAAAAAAAAAATCTTAGAGAGCTTGTGACGAAGTCCTGTAACTTAGTTCATACTTTCACAAATAAAACATCTTTTTGTAGTGATCAATTCTGATGCATTGGCAATTCAGTGATTGCATAGTAAAGTGTTTGAAGACCCTCATGTAGAGGAGGATAGTTACGACTGCTATTAATGCTAGCTTTTATGAGCGTTTGGCCCAATTATAAAGCAGTGACTAGAAAGAGCTCACCACGTAGCTTTAACTTAAGTAAAAAACATAGTGTGAGAAGTTTTATCGCATGCTTGTGCAGAAAACCGTACATGCCATGAAAAATTGATTTCAGAACCGACTGACATGCTTCACGTGTATACGGATGGAGCATGCACTCACAATGGTGGCATAAACGGGACACCAAGAGCTGCCATAGGTGTTTACTGGGGACCCAATCATCCAATGTAAGAAGGAGGCCACACGATTAGGCTTTTTTCAAACCATCTTATGATGTCTGCTTGTGCAGGAACGTCAGTGAGCGGCTTCCGGGTCAGCAAACAAACAACCGTGCCGAGATCCATGTAAGTTGATTGGGAACATTTAACGAGCAGATTTTCATTCACTTGTGTGTTCAATCGTCATAGATTACCTCAAGTGATCTCATTATAATAAATTCAAAATTCCACTATAAGGTGTATTCATATGATAAACATCACTCCAATAACTGACTCAGATGTGTTCTTGTTTTGTTGTATGTCCGTAGCGTGAAGGTCAGCTGACTGTCATAGTTTTGACGAGTGATCATATACTTGGGGCCTGTGTGGGGCTTCCACAAGCAGCATGATTGACAGCTCGCCGCAAAGCCATTAAGACTATCACTGCAGCCTGTTACGAGTGTCAGATACACACAAATGTACCTATCACTGTCAGACAGGTGTCATTTGCTACAAGTACATTCAGCATGACAAAAATATTTCAGCATATATTTGCAGAAGAAACACTTTTGCCACTCATTCTTTCCAAAGCCATTCAGAGAATGAAACAGTTCCAACTCTTTCGTTACCACACCTATTAATGTCAATCACCAGTGATCAACGCCTTGAACCATCAATTCTGGCATGTGTAATTTGCCATGTACCCAGCACTTCCTCGTAGTTAGTCCAACCTTTGAATTTTCATAATCAGTTTGAATTTGATCTTTTTTGCAGCATAGCAGTTTTTAACAGACTTTTGCACGAACTAATGTATGTCTGTTATTGGGAAAATGCACTTGGCTGACAAACTTAACAGAAGTGCGTGTCGCTCTTGGTTATGCGACAGTAACATCGAAGCTCTGTCATCAAAATAACCTTTGCCCGTAAAATATCAAATTAAGGTGTCCGCTTCACAATCTAACAGTGTTGAGCGGTGATAATTGTCCGAAATTTTTCATGTTCTGAAGTTAGTCCTTAGTAACTTCCATATATGCTAAATGTTTCGAAAATGTACTTGTTGAACCATGCTTACGTTTTCTTTTATGTACCAGTGTTTGTGTATACAACTGAATATATGTGCAAAATGCTTATTTATGTCGTAATATGCCCCCTCCCCCCCCCCCCAGTGTAATTCATTTATGGCAATGTAATAGTGATCGTGGAAGTGTTACGTCCCACAACCACGATATAGTTGTGGAGGGCTCTATAAGTTTTTGACCATCTGGTGTTGTTAATGTGCACCTATGCTGCCGGATATGAGTCCATCAATTCATTTTTAATACTTTAAAATTTCGAATAATTCAAATGTGTGATGCAGAGAATTTGCATACTGAAATGTTGATTTGAAGCACTCGAATGTTCGTCTTTTTCTACTATAAGCGTTTGTGGGGGTGCTGACACCCTCCCTAAAGTTGTTTGCGCTGCGTGGCACACGTGTTCCACCCAAAAGCCGCATTTCAAGGTTAGAACTACCGGGTGGTAGGTGGCGTGTTCGCGAGCGTTGATCACCACTATCATCATCATCATGGTATAGCGCCAGCAGCGACAAGCCTTGGTAGCGGCGAGCGAGAAATAAGCTGGTCTCATCTGCGCGGGGCAGTTGTCTTTACCGTGGGTCCCAGGTGCGTAGCACCGCGGGTTGCGCGTCGGGGGGCCCTCGTGGCAAGTCAAGCGTTGGCGACGCCGCCTTGGGTGTGTTATTGTGTTTGTCATGTTTTGTAGAGTATGGTAGTATTGTGTAAGGATGTCATAGAGTTTTGTTCACGATTTATGTTATAGTAATTCAGCAGACGATATCGTCTTTCCAAAAGTAGCTAAATAAATGTGTTTGGTTTGGACTGACCGTGTCTGCATTGTCCATTCACTCCAAGAGCGTGGCGTGGCGCTCACCAATTCGAGACCCCACACGTTCCAGTTGTGCTTAGCTGCTCTAGGAACTGTGGATTGCATGCATGATTTTTATGCGACAATGTTGTCTTCATGCCATGCGTGTTCAAGAGGCATGCTTTAATATAAATTTTACAGGCTGCTGTCCGTGCCTTGCAGCAAGTGCGCAGTGTTGGTGGGCGTCACGTGACCATCTACACTGACAGCTCTTTTCTCATCAACAGTGAGTTCAGAGGCACACGACCCCTCCTTTATAAAAATTGTAAGGTGCAGCCGACGAAGCATCTCTATATCTCGTCATTACTTGACAACAAAGCTTCATCAATTTTAAGAGCTTGTCTTCCTGTGTTTGACACGATATATATGAGAACTAACAGACAACAATGACGAGGAAAATATGGGGCATATTATTTGTACGTATTGTAATATAAATATGATGAAAGAAAATTGGCTGAAAAGGTAACTTGTTGCTGGTAGGGCCCAAACCTGTGACCTTCGAATGATGTTTTACGAAGCGAATTAAGTGGAGGTTATCTATATGTGTGTGCATTAAAACCTGGGATCGTGAATCATCACTGCTAGAAGCCATGGCAACGAGTGTCGAACACTCTTATCCAGCTTGCTGGCATCACGAAGCACTTTTTACCAGCCGGCAGTTGACCAGTAATACTTGGAATGATTGGTCAGCTGTAAAAAGACCACATTCCTCCTGGCACCAGCAGGCCAAATAAGAGTAAATTATTAGCCAACTTCAACACTATGCAGACCACTAAAATGTGGTTTCACCCAAAAATAAGTGTTTCCGTGGCACGAAAATACGTAGCACTGCAAGGTTTCTGGAGTGCTATTTAAATAATCAAAGTCGACCTAATATTTGCCTGTGGCATTGCAAGCAGCGCTTGTCATATAGAGGCAGCATATGTGTTGTTCCAAACAAGAAAGGACAGGTTTTCAAAATTTCAACCAATTTTGCAGCTGTTTCATATTTTGCGAGCACAAATGCCACCGCCTAATTTATGTGGCATCCTGCCGACACTGTTAAGCTTGCAGTGCAGGTTTTGGACCCAGGATAATGGTTGTACACACGTGCATCTGCAATACATTAGCAAGTCCTCAAGGTGCCAGTATAGAAGCGTGGCATCATTGAATGCATCTTGTGTCAAAGCAGGCAGACAATGAGGTGTTTACTGTGTTTCTAAAAAATAATATTGACACAATATAGGCTGCTAAATAAAATGAGCGACCTGCTGAGCAAACGTGACCAAATTAGTGTGGTTAGTGACCAAGAAAGCGACATCCTCTGGCTCCTGCTTGGGAGCCTAGTTATAATATTACAGCTGAAATTTGAATTTACAGGATGGGAAACTTGGCCGGCAAGGGGTATGATAGATGTAAATTTCTATAAAGCTGCTGTCCCAAAATTGACTTTTTCATTACAGTAGACTCTCAGTAAATGGAAATCCATTAAATGGAACTGCTGTTTAAAAGGAACAACTGCCTCTAACACAATTGATTTCCTACTTGCATTCTGCAGCCTTATTCATCTCTCAGTAAACGGAACTCCTGTTGAATGTAACAAATTTTCCTGGTTCTGTCAGGTTCCGTTTAATGAGAGTCTATAGTACTTCGATTGGTCCAGCTGATCAATACTGATCCGGCATGGTCCGCTACAATGCTATATAGTATTTACCTTCAGGGCCATTCGGCATTACTGAAGAGGGCGTGTCAATGTGCAGCGTTATTGGACACATGAAAAAGCTTTGCTCTAATAAATCTGATTTCGCCATACATATCAACGCCTCATTTGGTGAAGAGCTGCATGCTGTGTACTCAGGTGTCACCAAGTGGATGGACGGATGGATCAAGAAAGGCTGGAAGCTAGTCCGATGGGCAGGCTGTCAAGAACAAAGAAGATTTCCTGGACCTGCTCAAGGCAGCCGAGGGCCTCCGTGTCAAGTGGGTGAGTGCACAGTACGTGGTAGCACAGTTACTCTTTTGATGAGCTGTTCTAGTACACGCCATTATGGTGGCTAGTTGGTTTATAGCTGTTAATTTTTCTGAAAGGGGTGCTGTAAATGTGTTGCTACAGAAGGCTTGTTAGTCATAAAATTCCTCATTTGCTGTAATGCATGACAGATAATTAATGAAAAATAAAGGCTTATCGTTATCGAGCACTGTCAGTTTTAGAGAGCTCCAAAGTCGGCAATCTGCTGGGTGCAGCTATCACCACCTAGCATGTAACCCCATCAGCAAACAGAAGTGTGACGCACTTTGATACGGTCCGCATCAAGTCCTTTCAAAGAGGAAGCAGCGTGGCCACACACAAAGCTTTCTCCACGCTCTGCTGGTGCAAATGTGGCAAAGAAGAAATCATAACTTGTATGGGCTGCAGTGTGAGGGGGGTCACATTCGAGGTGCAGCATGCAGCGCACAATTCAATATAAAGTACCTTCAAAGTCACATTCTTTGTCAACATTTTGCAGACGCATGTTCTAGGAATCAATACCACTCGCTATCTTACCCTCGAAATTTTTTGGTCAGTACTCCTTTACATTGCGCGAAAAGACACATGCAGAACACCTGCACTCGTGGTTTTCTGTTTCGCGTCTTTTTGTGCAGTCTAAGAAAGTGCAATATGTATGTGCTTCTGGGTAGTTAAATTCACATATTGATGCACCTTTAGGTTTTACCATGAGAACCAACTTGAATTTTGGGCATATATGCACCGAATGATGGTAACTGCATTGACAAGTTAAACTTTGATAATGCAGTTAAACCTAGACTAAAAAAGCTGGTCATATCGGCAATATGGAAAGTGTGGCCTCCGCAGTATATTCATTTTTATGTGAGAAGCGCTGCCCATGGAAAAGATGCTGCCTTCTTTAGTGGCCGCTGTCATGTAGTGCTTGTTTCAGAAAGTGTGGTTGCAAAAATCATGTGCAACTGGACCGTATGTTTCTGCTGATTGAAGGGACTGCAGTAGAAAGGTGGTTTCACAGAATTCTAGGATTGGCATCTGTGTCATAGGTTAGTAGTACAAATCAGTGTCGTTCAAGGCTGGAAATTTGAGGAGATAGATTAGATGCAAATATACATCTTCAGGATTGAACCCAAGCCTACCGCATGGTAGAAACGTGTTCTACCACAGAGCGACACTATTTCTTAAGACTGCTTAGTGAGAAAATACTATAACAATGACACGTAGTTGGAGGGGTCACCTTAAAACTACCCAGAGGTCTAGATGTAGTTGTGGTAGTGAAGTTGTGCACGAGTCTGCAACAAACATGTGGCCATAAAAACTTTTCAAAATGGCGCCGTGATAGTGGAGTTGGACACGTTTGATCAAAACACGGCAATCGCTTTTTTTGCTCTTTTCTTCGCTACCCTCCGCTGGTCTCATTTCCCAAAGCCGCTTTGCCTTCCTTGACCTCCATATCTCACCTTGCATACGTCAATGCTGGCCACTGTTCAAAACACCGTCTACTCTTGGTTGCCGCGAATCCGTCAAAACTCTGTACTTGTTTGCTAACTGCTGTTGCTGTGCCCGGCCCATACTCTTGCATGCACAACTTCAAAGGATCACCAACTTGATGGAATCCGTACGTCGACACACCTTGCCAGAGCATGTGAGATGCAGAGCCGCAATCACCACAACACAACGAACAAGGAGCGCACGAAGCTGCTTGCATACTAACTGAAAATCATAGGTTTTTTCTCGATCAATCGCAGTGCGACTTGCGCTATGCCATTGCAGATTCAACTTAGCAATGTCACACGAAAGGTCCAGATAGGAGTAGGGATTGTTTCTTGAATTTTGTGGTGCACCTATGGCACTGCCACGTGTGGCATTGTTGATTGTGGCACCATTGTGCACACCACGATGCGTGTTTTACTTGAAATGTATATCAGAGGTGGTTTAGGGCCCTCAAATACTGCGTGGCAGAATCGTTGAATTACTCCCCCAGGCATCAAACCATGAATTGCACGAGTGGGAGGTTCGAAGCTGCCCACTGATTGTGCGTAGTAGATACTGTGTTAATTTGTAAAAAAAAAAACTAACAAAAAACAATTGCAGGACAGCAGTAGACGTGATAATTTAAAATGGCCAATGTTATGTGCACCAGTGTTCATTTATTTTTGGCATGGTTGATTTCGATCTACAAGGGACTTGCTTTGTCGTTGTGCTCTCGATGACAAACCTCAAGCATTTGAAAATTTTTTTTTTTTTCTTTGGTCTTTGTTTATGGCAGCAGTGAAACTACCACTTAATGAAATCGCAAATGAACAAGCTTCATTGTATTTATTAATACATGCTGCTTCATAGACAGGCAATAACGAAAAGTTATATGTTACTTGTTATATCAGTTACTTTATATTTATAAAGTTACTTTGTTATATCAAGAATTAACTGTGCTAGTGCTGGATAAACAGATTCACAGTACAATATATATGCAGTGGTGGTGTTGAATAGCCTAACCCAATGGGTCTCTGTGACATAGGTATGGCAACCAATCTCTTGTGCGCTTCGCAATTCTGCAGGTGCACGTGCGGGGCCACTCAGGTGTGCCGGGCAACGAGCAGGCCGACCGTTTGGCCGTCGCTGCACTCGACCTACCACTGCCACCCGGATGACCACTGCCGAAGCCGCTTCTTTTTCATATTAAATGCAACTTTCTACTAACTTCATTTCAGCCTGCCATGATGCTGGCTTGCAAATTCCAATTTTTTAAAATATATATATAAGCTACATTTGTGAATAGAAATCTATTAGACGTGCGGCACAACTGCCTGCCTAAATTGGTTTTATACTTCCACCTGCACCTCTGTTTAGAGCGTCAAGTGGAGACGTGCGTCTTGGAAGAGTGTTTTTACAAGTGGGTGAGCACAATGTACTCTTTCTTTTCTGCAGATTACAACTCTTAGAGTAGATTTTTAAGGGCTGCATTAGCAAAACATATGCTATTTCAACAATGTTGCCTTATGAAAATGGATAGCTGGGCTAGTTTGTGGCAATTTATGTTAAAGCAGGTAGCGTAAAGGAACAGCGACACATGGGCTCGGCTTCGGTACTTGTTCTTTTGCACCATCTGCTTTAAGATGTTTTCTCGTATAATTCAAACGGGGATTTCCGCCAACTTCTTTAGTCAAACACAAAAACAGATAATGTAACAAGATTGTCGGAAAGCTGGTCTAGTTGGTATATTTTTCATGTGTTTTTTTTTTTTGAAATTATTATTCAGGATAGTGTGTATAAAACAGAAGTTTTTCACACAAATTTGAAACCGTTTATTTACCATTTTATTACTTTGCCATAAACAATCGACATTTTTGGTGCAACCAGCTCTCGGACAGCCTTTCCAAATACTTTGTTGTGGTTGACCAAGCAAAGATACCAAAAAAGCGTTGAAAAAAAAAAGTTATCTAAAATTTAATAACTTTATTCTAATGCAGATGATAGAAACCTACTTGAATATCTGGAAACTGCGGAAAACTAAACTAACAACTGCATTAATTTCGTTCAGCTAACCCAACTAGTAAAGAAAATTTTTTCTCAAGTCCTGCGTCTTCTCTTAAATAGAAACATTTTTGTTTTTTTAGGTTCCATTTCACGCGGTTACATTGTATTTTAGATGAAAATCGACTATATGAACACCCAAAAAATGGATAACAGAAGTAATTATCGAGTGCACAAAATTTTATTTACAGAGCTAAGCACAGAGTGCATGCCACTGCAACAAATCTCTTTGTTGGTGCGATTACTAAGCCATTACTGCAGTATAGTGCATGCGGTTCGCACAAAGAAGCAATCATCCAGTGGCGACGTCCAAAACAGGAAATGTATCACAGACAACGCAGCAAGACAAACTTTATTTCAAGGGGGGGCAGCACAGTAACGAAGTGGGCGTCAGCAGTCGAGGAAGTTTGCTGCCATGAGCAGCTCGAGGGCAATCTCTGGCGCAATGGGGAACTCTGGGATCTCGGTCGAGCTGTTTGTGTAGCGCACCTTGTACGTGAAGTACTGGCACACCTTCTGTAGCACATGAGATCTGCACATATAAAGAATTAGACTTCTCTTACCACAGGTTTCTACTATAGCCACTTAGGTCTCAAAAAGGGAATTCCAGCTAAATTTAACTTCCAGAATTTAGTTATTTCGCTATTTAACACTTTCTAGGTTCACCTATATTTTTGACATGGTGATATGAAAACTACATTATCTCACTACATCAAAGAGTATTTACGATGCAGTGGCCAAAGTTAGTGCACCTAATTTCAGCACCAGCAGTTTCATTTCTTATGAGCCTTCACAGCACTGTTTTTTATTCCTGTAGAGCTTGCTTCACTGCGAGAATCAACCACCTTTCTTCAGTCCATTTGGCTGTCCTTGCTTTTGCTGTCAAAATTGTCAAGTTGTGGGGTCTGAAGATGGCGAGAGCCACCACGCTCTTGGACCGAACGGAGACAGCAGTCGCGGTCGGAACAAACCAAACACATTTAGTTAACTACATTTAGAACAACAATATCGTCAGCCGAATCAATATAACATCAATCGTGATCAACACGCTAAGACATCCATAAACACTATTAAACAACACTCAAGAACATGACAAACAAGGTGGTGTCGGTAATGCCCAACTCACCACGTGGGCCCACCACAGACCCACCACCGCTTGAGGCAACCATTCCCGCTACCGCTGCACACCAGACGAGACCAGCTTATTTCTTGTGCGCTGGCACCAAGACTTCCCGCTGGTGCTACGTTTTCTAACCATGATGATGATGGTGGCAATAAATGCTCACGAGCAAAACGCCACCTACCACCCGGTAGTTGTAACCCTAAAATATGGCTTCTGTGCGAGACACATGCTTCACGAGGTGCAAACAACTCTACAGGGCGTGTCAGCACCACTACACTTTTTCAACCTTAATTCAAACCATATCCCCCAAACAACGTGAAAGAAATCAGCTACACAAGCTCTAACAAAAGATGAAAACATGCGTCTTTAAAGAATGTCCGTGCACTACGACACCACCGCCGCTCGACACTGCTGCACTGTCTGGCTCGATAACTTCACCTCGGTACCGGTCCCATAGACGAACCATCACTCGCGCCGACGTCGTCTTCTAGTTGCGACCAGCATTCACGAGAACGCCGGACTGCAGGCAATTGTGCAGGTCCCAGGCATGTCCATCGCCCGACCTCAGGACTGCATTCCTGGGCAGCGGCACTGACGATGTCCAGAAGACAGCCAGTCGCGGGTTACATCACTCCCGCAGCATACATTCCCAACATTTTAAAGAACAATGCAGTAGGACAAAGGGAAGGGAGCTTCAAGCTTCTCGCCCTCCTGGTACGATGATCAGCACTGCTAGCTAGTACATCGGCAGCGGCCGAGACGCCAGGACTAAAACAAAACAAAACGTCGCTTTTCCTAACTTGTGCATCGCAAGATACAAAAAAGTGAGAGAAGCAGAGTGCAGCACCTCAACACCACAATCCACCTAGTTGGCCCTATCGCTCGCCGCACACAGCAGCTTACCGAGCGATCGGCGTCCATCGTCTCGGCCGGCGTCATGACCCCCTCGGCACGAGCCGCAATACCAGACAGCAACGACCCCCGGCTCCCTGAGCCCAAAAAAGATAGACGAAGCTATTTACAGAAAATCGGACCACCCATGAGGCTTCCACACTCGCTCGCTTCAGGCCTGGCGTACAATCCACGTGCTCTAAGCTTTGCTCACCCCAGGATGCAGACCACATGGTTCTTGTCCCAACTCAACAACGTTCTTGAAAACCAACCAACACAAAAAATACCTTGAGAGGAGAAAGAAACATTAAAAACTCAACGTGCCGACAAGTTCAAACGCGTTACAACCAATCTCCTCGCTCTCAACAAAGCACAGCTGCCGATGCTAACAAAGAAGTCCACCTAGGCCCACTCTACCCTAGCTTTAGCAAAAGCTTGTACCGAACCGCGAAAACTGTCGTCCGATGCTCCAAAAGCCCCACGTTGGGCGCCAGTGTGGGTTCTTGAAATGGCGAGAGCGCCCGGCTCTCGGAAAGAATGGACACAGTAGAGACGGTCGGAACAAACCAACCTAAACACACACTTATTCAACTAGTTTAGAATGACGATATCGTCCGCCGAATTATTATACATCAATCGTGATCAACACGCTAAGACATCCTTACACAATATTACCACACACTCTAAAAACATGACAAACAAGGCGGTGTTGCCAACGCTCTGACTCCCCACAAAGGCCCCCGGCAGACGGCCCACGGTGCCATGCACCGGGGTCACCCTGTGAGAGACAACCATTCGCGCCGAACGCCACCTGCCGAAGAGACATGCTCAACCCTCTCTGCTGTCACCAAGGCTTGCCTGCCGCCAGCGGTAACCGCCGGCGCCAACGTTTTCTAATCATGAGGATGATTGTGGTGACCACCGCTCGGGAACACAACGCCACCTATCGCTCAACAGCCATGACCCCTCAAATGCGGCTTCTGCGCGAGACACGTGCGCCATGAGGCGCAAACGACTTCACAGGAGATGTTAGCACCCCCACAAGTTACAGCCTCTGTGTCATACGATGGCAAAAATATGACTCGTACAGGTTATATATTCGTGCAGGGTCGTGCCGTTCGATCAAAACACACGCGTGTTTGTATGTACAGTAGTCATGCGGTTAAATGTACAGCATGTATCGCATTACAACATACAAGCATGGCTAATCGCAAGATGCAGTCCTATTGTCAGGTAACTTCGGATCGCTAGCCCGGTGCTGATACTACATACGGCAGGCAGCGCTGTTCTTTGTGACGAATATACGATGGAGAACAGAGCGATTTGGTGCCCGCATATAAGCGAAACAGCGCAAAAACAACGAGGACTAAGGGAAAGTGGACACAACACAGACGGTTACTTTTAACTGAAAGGTTTACTGAAAAAGCAGCTTAAAATGCTATTAGCTGTGCATGCTCTCACAAGGCCAATACAGTTCCGTTGCAGTGGTCTAGTGTCTAAGGTACTTGACTGCTGATCCCGCAGGTCGCAAGATCGAATCCCGGCTGCGGCGGCTGCATTTTTGATGGAGGTGAAAACCCTGTGGGCCTGTATTTCTGGTTATTTCACATCGAGACATTGCTCGGCGAAGGCATGCAGTGTGTGTGTGTAATTTGACCCCTGTTGATGTGCTCTACAAGAAAAAATTTATCTTTCACAGCGCAGTACCGTAATTACTCGAATCTAACGCACACCTTTTTTCCGGTTAAGCGAGTTCATAAATTGCAAGCGCGTTAGAATCGAGTACGAACAAAAAAATTACGGTCAATTTATTGCCATCGGCAAACCTAAAATGGCCGCCCCCTACGTGCGTCGGCACGGCGCATCGGCCATTTCTGCCTATGTGTTTCCCATGTGCGGCACTTCGTACGTGTGCTGAGGAGTTCGTCATCTAGTAGTGCATTAGCATCGAAGGAGTGGAAGGGCCGACTCCAAAAACTCGAGTGCACCACGATGCCGCTTTTAAAGGAAAAGTCATCGCGTGTGCAGAAACGGACGGGAATCAGGCCGCATCGCGGTCGTTCGGAGTTCCCGAAACGTGCGTGCGGGACCGGCGGAAACAAAAGCAGAAGATTGTCTACAGCAAAGCTTCACGCAAACGCTTCAGTGGACCACAGGAGGGTCGGTTTCCGCAAATTAAAGAGCTGCTCGGCGAGTATGTGCTTGAGCAGCGAGCGGCACAGCGGCCCGTGACCACAGAACTGCTCCAAGTGTGGGCTATGCAATTAGTCTTAGAAAAAGGTCTAATGCGGAGCCAGTTTAAAGCGAGCAGGTGCTGGCTAACTAACTTTATGAAGAGGAAAGGCTTTTCCCTCCGAGGGGGAACATGCATATGCGAAAAGTTTCGCGGAGCAGTACGATGAAAAGCTTCACAGTTTTCAGAGGTTCGTCCTAAACTTGCGGCGCAACAACGGCTACCTGCTTGGGCAAATCGGCAATGCCGATCAGATGCCTCTTTACTTCGACATGCCTGGCACCACAACCGTCGAGAAGAAGGGGGAGAAGCAAGTTCGCGTGCCCACATCGGTCCACTGTAAAACTACAGTGACGGCGATGCTATGTTACACGTCAGATGGGCACAAGCTTCGCCCGTACCTCATATTTAAATAGAAGACGCTCCCGAAAGGAGTAGTTTTTTCGAGTGGTGTGATCGTGCGGGCCAGCGAGAAAAATGGGTGCGCGTTGCCATCGATGTCTTGCGTTTTTTTTTTTTTTCGCGGTGGAAATCGACTGCGCGTTACAATCGAGGGCGCGGTAGAATCGAGTAAATACGGTAATCACTTATGGAGCTCATGGTATGCGCGTGCTTAACTCTAATGACTCGAGAGTGATTTTACCCAGTATTCATACTATAATAATTTCGCGTTGCAAAACTGCTATCCCCTTAAACCAAGACGCTCTTAAATAGAAAAAAAAAAATTCACAATCAATTTTTACAGCCTTTCTAGTTGAAAGAGCATGATAATTTAGCAATGCCTTTAATTATGCCACGTAACATTTCTAGACCCTTTCGAAAATCCCTAGATTCAACAAAAAAGATGCCAAGTCGCTAAAGAAGGCTGAAAATCTCTAAATCTAGAGATAAATCTCTAGGGTTGTCATCACTGCACTGAAGGCAACAGGCCACGCTACCGCCCCACGCCAGAAGAGGCCACAAATTTGTGGTGCGAATGGAAGAGGAATGGTGTTTATATGTTCCTGAGACACTCTTGTCACGAGCCCAATAGCTGAAATGCTTAGAAAATTCGAAAATAAATTTTAATAAGCAAATAGGTGCAAAACCGAAACCCAAACGGACACCGCAGTCTGCGTATAAGGTACTATTTGGTAAAAACTGGAGGCCGTATACTGGTCCTGCCGGCGTGTATATGACAACTGAAAGCCAGAGCAGTGAAGCGCTGGCCTAACACCACAGAGGAAGAAAAAGTTTTCCCATGCTATTGGGGGCAAGAACATGCCGGGCGCCTCCATACGGAGGC